ACCTTTCAATCGGCTTTGGATGTCTGGATTCCGCAGATCGTGATCGGGTTTGTACCCTTGTTGGCGAAGGGGGTCTTCAAAGTATTCAAGTGGTTCCCCACATGGAATCCCCTGGTACTCCAGCCCTTTGGTCCATCCAGCCCATCCAGCGTACACTTCCTGTCCCACTGGGCCATACGCGAACGCCGGCCGGTGCCGTAGAGGTGTACCGCCTCGGGTCAGGGCTTGGGAGTCTTCCTCAAGGCAAGACTCCAGAGATGCCGGGGGTTGTGACACAGGTTCTCCTACTCGGTAGGGACGTTTCTGCTGTTGTTGGCATCTGGCCCATGTGGGGAGCTTCGCCGGGACCAGCTGGTCTTCCAGCCTGCTGTTGTCCAACGCTTCTGCCCAGGGTTCCACCGTCAGTTCACGGGATATTTTCTGTTCCCGCCTGAGCGATTGGATCAGCCTCGTGGGTGATTCTGGTTGGAGCAACCTCATATGCCCTCGATGAATGCTAACGAAGACTGAAATGCTGCCATCCGACCCCTCTCCATGCAACAGGTCAACCTCCATACGTCCGAAGTAGGAAATCCGCATGACCACCAGTGTCACCCCTTTGAGTTCGTCCCGTGACAAAGTTTGGAGTGTACGGTAATCCTTTTCATGGTGGGGGTAGACACAGTCATGTATGTTCTGCCTCAGGAAGTGTTCTGTCTCTGTGATCCAAGCGGGCGGATCGCCCAGATGCGCTTGGGCAGCCACGCCCTCCTCCCAGAGTGTCCTGCGCAAGGTGCAGGCCCTTTGAACACATGTGTCCTGTTTGGCTTGTGGATGTGCGGCCAGTGCGATTCCAATGCCAACATGGAGGGGGAGACATTGCCTTTCTTCAAACTCCTGAGGGTTCCCTAGGGGGACACCGGTGTCGGCGGCCCTCAACTTGTCTTGAAAGTCTAGACATGCAATAGCACCAGCTTCGTGCAGTCTTCCAAACAATTTGAGGCTACCTCGGCCAACCTCCCCTTCCCAGACCAATGGTTCGAACTCCGCATCAGCTTTATGCCCAGCCTTTGGTGTGTGTTTCAACCCTTCGAGCTGGCGACACGCCTCCTCGGCGAGGGTCGGATGACCTTGTTCGGCGGCCTCCTCAAGAATGGTCGGCAGGTCGACGTCTTGCTGTGCATCCTCTGCTGCCATGAGCCTAGCGATGACATGGGATCGTAGATAATCGGAGGGGTCCTTGAGAGTCTGCAGTACGCCACTGGCCTCCAAAGTTTCCCATCTTTGGATCCGTGATCTCTCTTCATCAGAGAGCGCTTCCTCATCCCTGGGATCGGAGCAGAGGGGTTCCCTTCTAGGGACTTCTAGCCAGCCCGGATCGGGCCCTTTCACAGCTTCTTCAAGATCCGCCTCAAGTTGGGTCAGCGGGACTCGGTAATCCTCTGGGACCTCCCAATCGGGCTCACCCGCCTTGTCTTCATCATCGCCGCCTCCTTCCGGTTCATGGCCAGCCTTAGCTTTGGATTTTGGTTTACCCTTTCCTTTGGCTTTTGGGGTTGGCTGCATTTTCTCGGCTTTCTCAGCCGCTGCCTGAGCTCTCAGTTGTGCGACCCTCCCATCGACTTCCTTGGGATCGATTTTGGGTCCCCCTTTCAAGCCGCCTCTCCTAATGACTTGCATAGCATCTGTATAGTCTAGCTTTCCAAGTCCCGGCAACGGCTCATGGGCGTGCTGACACTTGGAGCCTCGGCTACACCCCATGTGGGTCGCTGCATCCCAGCAGATTGGTTTTCCCGACTTTGAGTCCTTGGGTGCATGTTCAACTGACCGGGGTGCCTCAGACTGGAGCAGTCTCTTCCCCGCCGGATAAGCGGGCTTGTTTCCAGAAGGGAGGGCTCCCCCCGAAGTGGGCGGAACATCTTTGAGAACGAGCTTTGGTGCCTTCCCGGGTTTATCATCATCTCCCCCTTCGACTGACTCTGCACCTCCGGCAATTTTGCGAGTGTTCTTCAGGTTCTGATCATGAAGCTGCTTATGGAGGAGTCTTGACATCTGCCTCTGTTGCCTAGGAATGACCACTGTCTGGTAATACCCGGCTGGGTCGGCCAAATCCCAAATCCTGGGGAATTGAAAGTTGGCTTGACCGTCCGCTCCTGGGGCAAGGGCAAGCAATTTGAGGTCTTCCAGCCTGGGATTCTCCGTTCCGCAAATTGAGCACAGCTTCCTACGACTTTCTCGCAAGTCCTCCCCCCAGGCCGCCACCAATTCCTCGTAGAGTTCGATGCAGTAAGCGGCTGGGAAGGCATGTTCATCTTCTTCATGGGCTTCTTTGAGGGCGGTAAGGCATTCCATCCTTTCTGCGACATGCTCGGTTCCGTAACATGATCCGAAGACCCTGACGGAATTTTCGGCATACCGGAGCCAGGTGTTGAAAACCCCAGGTGGTTTCACTCGACCCTCAATTTTGTTGTCGCTGGGGGGGTGCCAGTTGTCCAGCTGCTCGGAGCGAGCTGTAACGCAATCACTGGCGTGTACCGTGTATGGCTCCACTCCTCCCCACCAGAAACCTGCAATGCCCAGCATGAGACGATTTGTCATAAGGACTGGCCATTTGATGAGATGCAACATGTGACGAGAATGCATAGCGATGCGTTTGCAAGCATGGTAAAGTTCCTTGCCATAGACCCCGGGGGCTATCTCCACCGTCAGGGTCCCGCATCCTCTGGCGAGGAAAACATTAATGTTTTCGGCTTCCCGAACTGAAGTCAGCGATCCTTTTGTGAGGTTCTTCTCCTCGTCCTGTGCTTTACGCAAGCCATCAATGGCATGGATAATCCTATCAGCGTTCTGAACTTGGGTGGCTTCTCCTAGACTCTCCCCGAAGGTAGCTCCTGCTCTTTCTTCCCCAAACTGGTGGCCTCCCACCGCCGGCTTTACCAAGCCTTTGGAGCCGCTTGACCTCTTTGGAAAAAGGGACATCCCTCCCCCTCCTTGCCCCGGCATGGTAGCCCCCAGCAGGGGGTTTGGGATTCTCTTGGATCCTGGGATAACGAGGACATGGCCCGAGGCGGGTTCACTTGGAGCAGGGGCAGGAATTTGCGGGGTCATCACTTTGAACGGCCCTTCCAACCCTGGTGGGGTACGTGATGGGGCCGGAGCAGCAGGTCGAATGGCACTTTCTAGTGGCTTCTTTGGGATCCCGAACTGCTGCATGAGGGTGGTCGGATCGACCTCAAAAGCAGTGGCTACCGTTTGCACTGTTTCAGCGCTCAAATCTCCTGGTGAGTGTGCTAACAATGTGTCTCGTGCTGCATTGAGACGCGCTCCGGTATCCACTTCATCATCAACTGGGAAAGGGGGAATGTCAGGTAAATCTTCTCCCGTACCATCTTCTACAGCTGTCGGTCTCGGAGGTGTCATGAATTCCTTCTTCTTGTGTTGATGTGTGACAACATAAGCTTCAGCATGAGGGAGAACCTCCTGTTGAAGATGACTACAAATCCATGTCTTGCCCGATTGGAACGAGGGAGACTCGCCATCAGTCACCTGGCCGTCCCATGCTTGGAGCAAGAGGGCTTGCTCTTCGGTGACCTGACTACACAGGAATGAAATCCCTTTCCCGACGGACTCTTCATGGGAGGCTTGAAGGAAGTCATCAATCCATTCCCTACAAATCCGTCCGTGTCCATCATCCCTGGGGGGGGGGCGCAACTGCGAGAGGTGGACCACCCCTTGAACTTTGAGGGCAGGGATGTCAATTTCAACCTTCTCCTGAGCTCGGCTAGATGTAGCGACTCCAGTAACCCGCCCCAAAAACGCGACCCATCTTGGCGGACCTTCCCCGTTCTGGAGGGACTTGAATCTGATTAGTGAGATGCATGGGCCTTGAAGAAGCCTGCCTTCCGCTTGATGCTGGAACTGAGATTGGGGCCCTGCTGAGGAAGCGCGTGCCTTGGGCTGGCTAGTGGCAGCTCTACGCTTTGGGCGGCTACTGCGGGCTTGAGGAGAGACCCCCCGTTGATCCTCAAAGTGACCTTCAACTCCTGAGGATGGTTCTTCTGCTTCTGGATTGCTCCCGTCGCTCTCCCAGGTAACCTTGCGTTTGCTGCGCACCGAGCTACCAACATCCATCAGGTGATGCTTGCATAGGGGGACCCCTTGTTTGGCTCCATCGTGTGACTCATAACATGAGAGTACGCTACACTTGCGTCCGGAACATGCTGCCACATACAACTGTCGATGGTGATCACACAAGCGGACCGCTTGCCTGCCCTTGACATCGGAAAGACCCTTGTCACATTCAAGGAGTCGGACCGACTCCCCAGCCGCTTGATCCCGACATGGTTCATTGGCTAAGGCTCGCGGCTTGCCACCATGGGTCAATCCAACTAGGACGGCCTCGCAAGGATCTTCCAGGACCTCAGCTTCAGATTCCGACTCAGGGTCAAGGGGACGGAGACCTCCATGGTCCTGGATGGTACGGGTTGGTTGAGGGGTATCCATCAGATATCGAAGGAGCGTCCACCCAGAGAGTACCCCGACCATCTTCCAGACGGATCGTCCGACACTTCTGAAACGTCTGGTAAAGAGCACCATCAGTCGCCTGGTGGACCACCCGGCGTACGCTCCCAAATCTACCACACTGTTGGCATCCACCACTGCGTAGGTTTTGCAGTGTATACCCGGTGTAGGGTGGTTCTCAAGACTACACTGCATTTCCCGGCAAAGGTGGACTTTACTCTCTCCTTCCAAAACCTGCCTCAGATTTCGATGGGAAACACCTCGAACTTCTCTCAGCCGAACCCAAAGCCCATTCCGATCAACGCGTGCCCAGTGGTCGCAATCGGGTTTGACCCTCGCTGCCTGGCCATTGAGCAGAAGCACCACATCGTTGGGCTTTCTCTCAGTCACAAACTCACTTATATAACCCATGTCAAAAAGGAGCCAAACGCATCACCACACACACACACACATCTCATCTAACTTATAGCACCTCTAGCCGCCACTCAGATGGCCACCAGGCACAGCTCTATGACATCCAGCTGCTCAGTGCCTCGGCCAAGGCCTTTGCCGCAGTGCGCGGGGACGGGCAGCTGATCACCTGTGGCCATCCAAGTTCCGGTGGATGGGCCCCACCTACCGTGGTGAAGACGCTGCATGGCCAGGCGGGGTGGCGGAGTGGTGTGGAGTCTGCGGTTTGGACCAGATGGGCCTTCTTCACCCTTGCTCTGTAGAACCTCTCCGCTGTTCGCATCCTGCGATCCAGCGCGTTCGCACCTACTTCGCCGCGCCCGGGGCGGATGTTCCGCAACCGAAGGTCAAGGAGATTGCCGCCTCGGAGAATGCCTTCGTGGCGATTTGCCCCAGCGGCCGCGTCGTAGCCTGGGGCGACCCCGATTCCGGCGGCGACCTGGGTGGTGCTGCTACCCAGCTGGCAGCAGCACGGGTGCGGGCGATCACCGCGACAGACCATGCATTTGCTGCATTGCTGATGGATGGCGGAGTCGTGGCCTGGGGGCATAGCTATTCTGGGGGAGATTGCAAGTCGGTACAGAAGAAGCTGTACAACATCTCCCAAATTTCGGCGTCGATGAGCCTTCGATGGGTTCAGTAATGATGTGATATTTTCTGTGTTTTTTTCATAAAAAATACTATGTATAATTGCATTTCGAGAAGACCACCTTGGTCAAAAGCTGATGCCATAAACGTTGGCTCAAGCCGAGCGCGCAATGGTCAAAAGTGACCGCAGAAACCCCAGGTTCCAGCTACCACTGTGCATGCAGTGGTAGCGGAGCCGGTTTCGTCCAGGGACCGCGTGATAGGCGCCATGGATCATCCTGCTCCTCCTCCTGGTTTTGCTCCCGAGGATGCCAACTGGCAGACCACGGCCAACAGGCCTACCGGCCCTGCGGCCACCGAAGGCCATTCGGCCGGTGCTGGATCACTGTCCTCTGATGGGAGTGACCCTTGGGTTCGTCGCGACCCGTGGACACGACTGCCCGCCCAGGAGAACGTGAACACGGACTACTTGCAGTTCCTGCAATGGCGACAAGGCCTTGAGGCTGGACCGGCGACACCTCCCACCGGAGCACAAGTGACACCTCCGGTACGACACGATTTTGTTCGCCTTGGAGCCCAACCAGAACTGCATCCACTACATTGCGGACAGGCTGCACGAGAGGAAGCCGAACGTACCACCGCAGGTCCTCCTCCAGAATGGGATGGGGCTAAGATGGAGTTCCGCGACTACAAGATCAAGGCGAAGCTTTGGCTGCGGACGACTCGAACTCCACCTACCGCCAGAGGACCTATGTTGCTCAAGGGCCTAACCGGCCCCCCTTGGGAGCATATGAAATTCCTTGCAGCCGACGATGGTTGGTTGGATAATCCCGATAACGGTCGAATCCTCATCAACCTGATGGACACCAAGGAGTACTATGGAGAAGAGGAGAGGGAATCCATGCTGGCGGCGTGCAGCCGCATCACTTTTCATCTTCGCCGAGCCAAAGGGGAGAAGGCTCAGGCCTTTATGCTGCGTTGGGATGACGCAGAACGCAGGGTGAAAGAGAAGGGCGTTAACCTTCCGGGAGAATATCAGGGCTTTCTCCTGGTAACAGCTCTTCAGTTGACAAGTGACCAAATCAAATTGCTGCTCAACTACACTCGTGGCTCCCTTCAGGTCTCGGATGTCAAGGCCTGGCTACGGATCCACGAGACGGACCTCGACATCACCACCCTCGGAAATGATAAGAAGAAGTCCACCAATGAGGTCCACACCATCTATGAGGAGACGGTCCAGGAAGAGGGAGACGTTCTGGACATCGAGGGCGACCTGGTCCAGGACGAAGACACGGAGATGTTGCTAACCACCTTGGCCGAGATGTCCGATGGAGAAAACGATGGACAGACCACCACGGAGATCAGCGAGGGCGAGGCTAAAGAGGTCCTTCTGACTATGCTGAAGGAGCGCCCTCGTACCAGATCTTTTCAAGGGGCGATGAAGGCCAAGAAGAACCGTGATCTAGCTCGAGGTTTTGGAGCTGGCCGTGACGGAGCCCTTCGACCAGGAACTTACAAAGTGTCAATCGAAGAACTGAAACGTCGGACGAAGTGTCACCGATGCCAGGAGGTGGGTCACTGGAGTCGAGAATGTCCCAACAAGGGACAGGGCAAAGGAGACGGAAAACCCAAAGACATCCACTACATCACGGCGGAGACCTCCGACGAGATTGAGTTCCTCTACCTGGATGCTGACGCGGCTAGCCATTCCGACCCGACCGCCAAGGACACTCAAGCGGAGTTTGTATACATGAGCGTGCCGCCGATCATCACCCATGAGATTCTTACTATGGAAACCTCTGTTGAAGCTGGTTGCGCTACAATAGATACGGGGTGTCAACGGATGGCCATCGGTCTTGATGCTCTAGAAAGGTACCAAAACCTTCTGCCCCCGGAACTGTTCATTCGATTTCGTCGAGAACGACACCAGTTTCGAAGTGTTCATCAAACGTCGTGCACAGAAAGGGTGGCAATTATGCCCAGTTCACTTGGCCCCCGAGGGAGCTACCTCAAGCCTGCCATTTTTGAAGATGAACCATGTCGTAGTGCACCCTTTTTGATCAGCTTGCCCTTCCTCCTGCATTGTGGCATTCAACTACATTTAGACCCCACTTTTGGACTTCTGTTGAGATCGAAGAAACTGGGTTTTTCAGCCAGATGTCATTTGGGTCCGACGGGTGCCTTGAGAGTCTTTTTACAAGATTTTTCAGAAGATCAAATTCGGCGATTGGCAGGGACACAGGACAGCAAACATGTCGAGTATGAGCTATTACGAACGGAGCATTCAGCTGGCTCAACAGAGACCGCTCGGTCGTCCCATCCAGCTCGTCCGGCGAGTGAACATGCAGAGCCGCCCCAAAATAACCGCACCGAGGCAGAGGAGAGCATTTCTATGATTCGAGCGTGGTACCGGATGGTACTACGTCTTTTCGTCATGATCACCCAAGCTCTTCGACACCAAGCTCTCTCTCAGATCCGCATCCCAGGACCACGGGGCATGAGGTCCCGACAGATCATCCAGTCTGCCGATCTCTTAGAGGTGGAGGAGTTGGACGAGATCGTCAACCACTTGGGGGAGAAGCTGCAGGAACGAAGCCTCCAGGAGGCACGAGCCCGATATCCATCTCCGATGACGGAGGCATCCCAGTCCACCGACACCGACACACCGACCGAGTGGAGCAAGGTCACCGCAGCAATCCCCACGGGACCGGAAGCCAATATGTGGCAGATCCCCCAGGGACTGGATCTCCGATCAGCCCCGCAGTGCCACTGCCAGCTCAAGACCAAGCTGTACACCTCCATGACGCAGAAGAACCACCAGCGGCTCTTCTGGCGTTGCCCCCGAGGACGAGATCAACAATGCCGCTTTTTCCAGTGGTTGGACCTTCCCAAGAACTTGAAAAACCCGCCAGTCGACTTCCGGGACGATCCGACCTTGGAGGAGCTGCGACTACTGTTTCAGTCACAGTGTCCACACAAGAAGACCACCAAACAGGGGAGCAACGGATTCCGGGTGAGGGAGACCTGCAAGGAGTGTGGCAAGGTGCTCATCGACGAGATCACCGAGACGGGGAAGATGCACAATCAGTCCAAGGATCAGAAGGCAGCATCCACCTCATCAAGGAGCTACACACCCTCGCTGGCTCCAGGGACCCCGTCGCCAGTGGAGGAGTACGATTACCAGGAATTTCTTCAATGGAGGAGTCAACAAAGGGGAACAGCTTCCGGCACACCATGTCAGTCGTGGAAACCACCAGTCCCGGTAGATCCAATCGAGATGATCGAACCGGAGGACTTCCAGGCATGGCAGAGGTTCAAGCGTCTCCAAGCGGGGAGCAAGGAGCGTCGCCAACACCGCTGAGTGAGCGCAGCCTGACAAATGGACTAAGACACAACATGGTGGGCAGGTTGAAGCAAACCGAACGACTCTGGCATGAGCTGGACTCATTACTTAGCATGGACCACTCAGAACCCATGGGAACACCATTAGCAGAAGTTTATTCTCGAATCCGGAAGGCCGCCCACCATGACAGTCACCAGCTCAAGACTTATAAGGAGCTTTTCAGCATGGATGCAAAACAGTTGAGCACGGTGATGGAGATTTGCAACCCGGGGTGTTTCAATAAGCAAGCGGACAATTTTGGATTGCGGTGTGGCCAAGTTTTCGACATTGTGTTGGGTTGGGATTTGTTGAACACTCAATCACAGCAACATGTGGTACAGTACATCAAGTCGGAGCGACCGGGACTAGTGCTGTTAGCGCCACCTTGCACCATGTTCAGCACATTGCAACATCTCTCCATTCGGACGCGGCATGCCAATTCCAGGCTGTTCGATGATCATTTGAGAGAACTACGCCGCGCTCGCAACCTGCTCAAGTTTTGTGTGGAAGTTTGTCAACTATGCAGAGAGCTCAATCTGACCTACGTATTTGAACACCCATGGGGAGCAACGTCATGGAGTGAACCATGCCTAAAACGACTGGTGCAACAACCGGACAGTTACCTAGCTAGAGTGGACCAATGTCAATTTGGACTGGTTAGCAGCCAAGGCAACCCCATGAGAAAACGATCAGGCTTCCTCACCAACCTTTTAGATCTTGCGACGAGCCTCAACCGGACGTGCCATGGAGATCATCAGCATGAGCACATAGTCGGCCGTGCACCAGGAGATACGGACAACCGATCACGGATGGCTCAACGCTATCCCAAACTTCTCATCCAGTGCATCCTCGGCACCTACGCTGCTAGCATTGGGCTGAACGCTTCGGAGCTTCACCACGTTCAAGCATCCCACATCATCATGATTGACGAGCAGCTCACTCAGAAGTTCCAATTGAATTCGCGTGCTGTGGGAGATGCAGTACGAACCTGGGTGGCAGAAGCAGTACCCCTTGGCGTGGGAGTTGCAGAATGCCACGCCATCGATTCTCAAGAACCTGAAGGTGATCACGATGATGAAGACCATGGAGGAAAGGGAGACTTTCCAGGCAGTCATCCTTTGTCACTGCCGGCATTGGTCAAGAGAGCACACGAAGGACTTGGACACCCGGGACAAGAGCGCTTCATCAGAATCTTGAAGAGCAATAAGGCCTCACCTCAAGTCTTGGAGATCGCCCGCAACCTCAAATGCTCAGTGTGTGAGAAATTCAAGAGGCCTAAACCTTCTAGAGCTGGAGCCCCACCAAAAGAAGTCGGCCTCAATGAAATCGTTGGAGTAGACTCCATACAAATGAGGACGGGTTTCTCGCAGAAGACAAAATACTGCTTGAATATTTGTGACTATGCCTCACATTTCCAAATGGTAGTCCCACTCAGTGATCACACCGCTCTGGCAGCCAGACAGGGTTACCGGCAGTGGATTAAAGTATTCGGCCCACCTCGCAAACTGCTCTGTGACCTTGGAAGAGAATTTCAAAAACAATTTGAAGACTACGCAGAGGCAGACGGCACCGAACTACTACCCTCTTCCTTGGAAACCCCAGAACAGAGGGGTTTCGTGGAGCGACAGGGACAACTCTTCAAGGAGATGGCTTATAAAGTCATGGAGCAAATCCTGGGACACCTGGAAGGAAGTCATTGACATTACTTGCCACACCAAAAACAGACTACTGAGTCGGGGTGGCTTCTCACCAGCTCAGCGGGTCTTCGGGTACCAACAGCGAATCCCAGGAGGACTCATGTCTGAAGGAAGTGACGACCTGGCAGTCCAGAGTCGCTGTGCAGCCGGAGACTTAGGCATTCAACAAGCCATGGACATCCGCGAGAGTGCCTTGAAAGCATTTCATGAAATTGATTGCCGGCAAGCAGTTCGTGCTGCAGCCACACATGGACCTCGACCTCACTACGACTATCAACCCGGTCAGGCAGTCTTCTTCTGGAGACGAGGTACAGATCCCGCCCGAAGATCAGCGAATGCCTTTTCGCATGGACCAGCCCGTGTTATCGCAGTTCAACTGCCTACCACAGTGTGGCTATCCTACAATCACTATCTCATCAAGGCCGCGCCGGAGAAGCTTCGTCCCGCATCAGAAGAAGAACACCTGTCGCTCTCCGGATGGCTTGAAGGGATTGGACACGCGAAGCGACAATTCGAGACTGACCAGGTCAAGGGCATGATCGACTTGAAGAAAGAACAGGACACCCCGCCGGAGGATTCGGAAAGTAACAATGACTACTGGACTAAGCTGGGGAGCTATTGGGTTCGAGTACATGAGAGCCCAAGGTCCACCTACTTCCATCCAGCAGATCCGTCCGGACAGCCACTGCCCTTCAACATCGAGGACCTTGATGACTGGTGCCGCCACGAAATGATCCTCCCTGACAGAAGCGTCCAGGTCGAAGAAACTACGTGGCAGGATTCCTCTGACTTGGCCAGGTCACCGCCAGTGAAGTCATGGACTGGAAAGACATGGTTTCGACTTCAAGAAGTACTACCAGCTCAGGGGATCAAGAGAACAGACATGTTGCCACCTCCGCTCCGACGAGTGCGACAAAAGGCAACTATGGATTCAGATGGCAATGAGATTAAGGAGGAACAGGCGGCCAAACCGACGGGAGAGACGCCAGCTGAATCCAACGCTTCACTGGACAACACGCCCGAATTGGAACTTTCACCAGTTCTAGAAGATGAAGAAGCAATAATGGAACCACCTCCTGGACTCCTCCCTCATCAAGTGGGACTACCCAGCGATGCATCGGCGGGGCTGACTACCTATACCCCGTCATTGGCTCCTTCCCAGACCTTGTCACGTGACGAGGCCGAGAAACGACCAGGTAGTGAACACACTGAGGACCGCTGGGAGAACATTCCACCGATGAAGAAATCCCGGCTGGAACTTCTCGAGGCTCTACACCTTCAACTTGGACCTCGTGGAAACACTCGACCGGGCAAAAATCGGGAATGCTCCCTGAAAGACTTCACGGGAAAGGACCTGGAGAGATTCAAACAAGCAATCCACAAGGAGATCAACAACAACCTTGGAACTGGGGCTTACGAGATCTTGTCACCAACCGAATCCGCTCAGGTCCGAAGAAATAAATCCGACAAGATCATGAAGTCGCGCTATGTCTTCACGTGCAAGCCCATCGAGGACTTCGCCCTGGAGGATGCCAAGTCGTCCGACATCATCCTAGACTCCAACGCCAGTGAGGGTCCAACAAAAGCAAAATGTCGACACGTAATGATGGGGTTCAGCGAACCAGATCTTCTCAGCCTGGAGACCAGCACTCCACAAGTTCATCGTGACTCGGTCGTGTTCGCCACACAGATCCTGGCATCCAAGGGTTGGCAACCAGGATATGCAGATTTCACCCAGGCATTTCATAGTGGAGATGCCATCAACAGAGAACTCTATGCCGAACTACCACGAGAAGGAATTCCTGGGGTGGAACCCAATCAGTTGATCAGACTGAAGAAGACTTGCTATGGGCTCACAGATGGTCCATCCGCCTGGTTCAAGCATATCGTGAAGTACCTCACCAAAGAACTGGGATATCGTCAGTCCATTGTTGACCCATGTCTCTTCTTCCTGGACCAGGAGAACATTGTGGAGAACCACGAGGAAGAGGACCTGAACTCCATCGAGGGCATCGTCGCTCTGGCTACAGATGATCTACTTCATGGAGGAACCCAACGACACATGGAACGGATGGAAACCCTCCGGAAGAGGTATACCCTGGGGAAATACACCTGGGGACAAGGAAGATTCGTCGGTAAGGACTTCACACCTCTTACCGACGGCTCTATCAGGATCGACCAGGAGTTCTACGTCAAAGCAAGAGTACAAGAAGTGCCCATCACCAAAGAACGAAAACGCAGAAAGTACTCCCAATGCACCCCGGTGGAGATTGAACAACTACGGGCACTACTGGGCACTTTGGCCTGGGTAGCCAAGGAGACGAGAGCGGACCTTGCAGGAAAGATAGCGCTGGTGCAACAATCCTTTCCGAGACCTCTGATCCGGGACATTCTCATGGCCAACGTCATCGCCAAGGAAGCTCTGGACAACCCACAATTGGGCATTCGAGTGATGCCGATCCCTCTTGAACGGCTCCACGCCGGAGTCGTCACAGACGCAGCCTGGGGAAATGCCAGAGAATTTGGACAATACCTCGAGGACTCCAAGACAGACTGGTGGGAGGAGTTGCCGGACCGATGGATACGACACCATCAAATTCCTAGAGTCACGGGATTTCACCCGGCAGCGGCGCCAAATGGACCAGATCTTCATGATCTACTACCTGATCGATATACTGAGATCCAGATCAATGACAACAAGAACGTCCTCCAGGACGAGTGGACATCTTCATCAAGTATAACCTCATTGGCACCTTCGCCGTGGACGGGGTCGACCACCTTCAAGAAACAACCACAAGGACACCATCTAGAAGCAAAGCTGATCCATGGGGGCTACGAGCAGCTCTTGAAGTTGTACAGCCAAGGGGGAGAGATCACTTTCTTCTACGACCGAGACCTACCAGAGTCTCAATCCTTGCAGAATGTCACCCTGGCAGCTTGGAAAAGCTACCGCCTAAAAAGGCGAACGGTCAACACGCTCAGCTCCGAGACCCAGGCATTGGTTCGAGGTCTAGGTTCAGTTCACTGGTACAGGGTCCTGATCCTTGAAGCCAAGGGATTGACCCTTTCAGCTCGCCAGTGGCAAACCGAGGTGGCACGCCTTCCATTCATCTGCGTGACTGATTCCAAGTCCTTACTTGACACCATCAATAAGGACACCAACCCGGCATCACAATGTGAGGACAAACGCACGTCCATCGACATCTCACTCATCAAGCAGGAGGTCCACGAGATGAACGGCCGAGTTCGATGGGTGGATGGACGAACCATGTTAGCTGACTCCCTCACGAAAGACACCAGAGGTGACTTTCTGAGAGAAGTGATGTCCTCCGGAAAATGGAGCATTTTGGAAGAGGGGGCCGCGCTACAGCGCAAACTCGCAGAGCGAGGAGGTGGCCACGAAGTTTTCATGATTGCAAGCACCTTTTGACCAACATAATATGTGGTCGGTGCATTTCGAGAAGACCACCTTGGTCAAAAGCTGATGCCATAAACGTTGGCTCAAGCCGAGCACGCAATGGTCAAAAGTGACCGCAGAAACCCCAGGTTCCAGCTACCACTGTGCATGCAATAATATATCATGTATAATATATATAATAGTGATTAATATATATATATATATTTGCTATTACACACAGATACACAGCATATATATATATATATATTTTGTATTGGTGAGTGTATGGGCATGGCCAAGCGGTCCTGCCACCCTGAAGTTCCATGTCGAACCCCTAACTCCCCCGCGATCACCACCTCTTCAGAGCCCAGGAACAGTTTCGTGGCGTTGAGAAAGGATGGAGTCGTTGTGGCATGGGGGAACACAGAAGTCTCCGATCTGAGGGATGTCGTTGAGGTCAGTGCCTCTTCAGGAGCTCCGTGTCTTGCTTTGTTTTGATTGGACAGTTCTGAGCAGAACTCTCGAGTATCCAAAGCCGAGGATGCTCTCGCTTGGCGACTAGGTGAACAGGGGGGTGATCTTTGCAATTTCTGCAGCATTCTGCAGCAAGTTGCGACAGCAACCACCTCCAGACGGAAGCTTAACTTGGAATGCATGAACTGGTTGTTGATTCATGGGCTTGGATTGCCATGTTTGTCCCCGCTGCTAGCAGACAGGAACAGTATGGTGATCACGGACTGGTGAAACATGTTAATTGATTGATTTGTTTGATATGTTTAGTCGTTGAGTCGTTGTATGTGTTGCCGCCCCATCCGCCGTGCAGGAGCCTTCGCTGCGTTGAAGTCACTCAGTGATCAGCAAGTCTTGAGCCATTGTGGATCACCACCGTCCACTTTTGAATATTCTGTTATGTTTATTTGTGGGTTGTGGTGTTTCATTTAGATACTGTATCCGAAATGGTCCTGAATGTTCATCCAACCGTTAGCTCGCAAACGCGGCAAGACACCCTGAACACCTCTCATGGGAGTCTGACCTCGCGCGGAGTCTGCGGGACCTCGGGTGTTCACCCATGTTCACACCGAAGTGTCCGGGCCGCTGGGGGCCGCCCCGTGGTGTTTCTCGAGACCGCGGTGGTTTTCGTTCGAACGAAACCGACACACCGGACTGCTCGTTGGCCGATAGGGTTTGTCCTGTTCTGACCTGTAGGACCTGTACACAAGGATCATTTTGGAACAAGGCCTGCAACCTAACCATCATCATCCACGGGGCCCAGGTAATAGGATAGATAGACCCAATTCATTGATATAGATCCACTTCTTGATAGCTCTCCTCAGGGAGCTTCCCACAGCATGAATGCACAGGATGAATTTGTTCACAAAGTTTTGTGCGGGGACTTTGGACCTATTGCTCCCACCTCCACCGCAACGAGGTCTGATGGAAGTGTGGTGACCTGGGGTACTGAGCTCTATGGGGGCAACAGCTGTCCAGTAGCTCGGAAGCATTCTGCATCTGAACCCAGTCATCAAGTGGGACTGGCTCGGTCAGGTCTAGGACACCTGGTCCTGGGGCTCCTGGCGGTCGGGCCAGCGGGCAACCCATTTGCGCCATCGCGCGCGAGGCGCTGCTCGCGGCCAGTGGAAGTGACGAAAGTGACGAAACTCGGACACTCCCATGGCTGTGGGGAACTCACGCCATGCTAGTGTGACACCCACAAAATAGAGGAATCGGTTCATTTCAGGGGTCAAGCAGGGTGCCCCAACCTTTAACCCACTGCCATATTTGTCTACATTGGGGTGACCATACATGTAGTGTGGAAAGAGACCAGCGTTGGTGGAGGGCTCCCGGCCGCAGGAACAGCTGGATGGTTTCAGTTATGTTGATCACTCAACCTTTACTATCTTCACCTTGGGGTGAGACCACTGACATCCCCCAACCGGGAAGTTTCGTTGCATCCGCGGCGATGTGAACTGCTACCTGTGGCTACAGGGATCGTCTGGAGGCACTGGACCGCGCGGCTGAAACGCGCCGCAGAACGGGCGTGTCTTTCTTCGCGCGTTCGACGCAACCCCGAGGCCGATCTGCAGCAGGTCTTGCAGGTCTGCGGTTCAGCGAGCGCCTTTGCAGCACTGACACTGAATGGATCCCTCATCGCTTGGGGCCATCCCTTTGGGGGTGGCCTGGCACCGTCGCTGCACGATGTCTTCGCGACGTGTCCGAGAAGTGGGCCACCCTGGGCGGCGTTGAAGGAAGGACCAATCATCCAACGGGGGTGATGATGCTGAACAATTCTTCTATTCTGCGTGATGGCCAGGAAGGGCCTTACTTCTTGGGTGCCTTGCCATTTTGGCCTTGGCCATGGCCGTGTGACGAAGCATGGTTGCGCAGGTGCCAGGTGCCAGCGAATCCATGCGAATCCGCCAGCGAATCCGATCAAGCTAGGCTACAGTGTGCACAGTGTACAGATGCCAGCAGCAATGAAGCAAAAGACCTTCATGGGATGAGATGTTTTTTTGGGAGAAGTGCCACCCAAAAACCATCCAGCACCCGAAGCGTGGGTGGTAGTTTAGGCCCTTGTTAAGGGTGCACTCCACAGGTGGTGGGCGGTTTTTCGAGGTTTGTTTGTTCCACAGTTGGTCCCTCCCGGCTTGACTACTGCTCGGATCTTCTGGTCGGTCTTTGCAATAAGTGGGGTTCCAGCAAGCAACAGCTTTTGACCCCAAGATGATCAGTGTTCCCTCACGTTCTTACCATTTCCTACTATCTCTCACATCGGACGCTCACTGTGAAACAGTGTCCGACATGTGCAAGACACTCTGATCTACTGTATGCACAAAAGATGAACCCACCAAAAGACATGCAGCACCAGTTCTTACCATTTTTTACCCCCTGTCTCAGTTGGTTGAGGGCGACCAGCGTTCTTCACCCCATTGGTTGCAGACATGTTTTTAGTCCGTTTCAAGCATTGGCATTGGCCGGAATCCATCAACAAAAGAAATTCAATTGGCACTTTTGGACAGATATGGGCAGGTGAAGTACTGGTCTTTGGTGAGAATGTCACGTACGGGTCTCCCATCGTCCGCAGCCGCGCCCTGCAGGCCGCTCGCGGCCTCTCTTTGGGTGGACTTGAATGGCCAGGTGGGCTTCACGCAGGGAAATGAAGAGCATGGAATGGAACTTGGAACATCCTTGTTCAGGACGTAGGACCCTGGCAGATACTTTTTTGGAGTAGAATATCGAAGATCATGAATGCAAAACTATGCAAAAGACCAGAAGATGTGACGCCTGGATCACAGTGCAAGGTGATTGACCACAGCGAGGACCAACATGGTTGCTACAAGACAGCAGCTATCCTTGGCAAGGACTTGTGGATCAGCTCCACTTGCGAAGCGAAAAATGGCGTGAGGTGTATGGGGTTGGCGGTTGGAGGCAAGCTTGCAGAGGAGAAGAACTTGAGGATCCCCATCATTGTGGATCTTGTGGGCACCCCAGTGATAAAAGGAAAGAAGCCCATGCAGGATGACTCACTAGCGGCGGTCGCGGCCGCCATCGCCATCCAGGGGTTGCGGCTACAATGAACCGTTCAACATCCATTCACCCACCTCCAGCGACTCGACTTACGTGAAAACGACCGCCGTGGTTTGGACGGCATGCGTTCGTTTCTCAGGTTTCCGAGCGCTGAGCTTCGAGAGGTGGCAGATGGCAGAGAGGAGAGCGGAGGGGAAGGTCTGGCAAAAATTGGAGTTCTGGAAACGGTCGACCTTGTACGTGTTCACGGAGGGGTGCAAGGATGAAGCATGATCAAACACCCAGCAGTGGGAGTCAAGGTCTGGCAGCCATAGACGGATGTAGATCCAAACTTCGTGTCACGAGCTTTCAAACGGACGTCAAAGAGGAACATGCTCTTCAAAGGCGTTCACGTTAGCGGTTTGCCCCCCAAAGTGAAATGTCAGTTTTTTTCTGGGCATGCCAGGTATGTTCCAGGCATCTATATACTGCCCAACGCCACTAATTACTTGGTGTAACATATAGCTGAGGGTCCCCTAGTTACAGTTAGATGATGTTAGATGCCTCCTCCCAAATGTGAACTGCTGCAACGTCCCACGTGAGGCACGCTTTTCCCAGCGCCGGGCAACCTCCACCGGCGCTTATCGCCTCACGCCAACTGCTGCGCGCCTTGGTGGATTTGAGATAGGACTCACAGCTGCACCAAAAGTCTGGTTTCAAATCGTAATCGTGATCAAGCAAGAACACAGTGAAACCATCAGTCAGGCACCAGTACGCGTTTGCACATTGTGTTAGGATGTAGCATCGCTCACGGGACGCAATTCTCGGCTGCTCCCACCGGAATGAAATCTGTACCTCCAGCACTGTCACACACACACACACACTTAGATGCATAGTTCCAATGAAGGAACATGATTTTCAGTAAGTGGTCCGCGGTGTGATTACCTATATAGCACTTGACTTGCAGGATTTCAATGGCGATAAGTCCGCAAAAAGTATGGTTTGAAGTTTGAACATCTGCTCGTCAGTGGCTATGGAAGATTGGGGTAACAGCTCGTTCAGGGGTTCAAAACAGCGCAGGTACGCCAGGATGGCCAATCCTGGTACCCCATCCGATCCACACAATATTCGAACCATGTTATACCAGCATTTCCGCCACAGTTTCGTTCATGGAGACTGCTGGGCGCCAGACCAACGAACCCTCCAAAAAAGGCACCGGTATTCTTCATGAAAGCTAGCACCAGCTGGAGTTTGCCCTAGCTTTTGTCATCCACCCTTTTCCGCCTCAGATGCGGTGAGAGAACTCAAGACGGTCACAAGGGTCAACGCCACGAGGTGGGCCACCTGCTTCCTGGTGGGCACAGGCGTGAAATCACGGGCTAAGAGTGAAGCGGGTGAGACGGGAAGGGAGGCGCCAGGTCGAGGGGAAGGGGAGTAGTTGAAGGTGTGAGCATGTGGTGCCAGCCCATTGGGTTTGATGAAGGCTAAGGCAGCTAAGGGATGCTGAGATAGGCATCGTCCAGATATGGAGCAGCTAGCAGCAAGAGAACAGGTAGAGCCACAACAAATTAATTTCAATAGACTTCCTTGTTTGCAAGGACCAGATTTCTGCAACATAAACCCGACTTTTGACCTTCAACGGAGGCAGGGCCCAAGTAGGAACCCACCATGTTGTGACGATGTGCAGTGCTGGCATCATGCAAATGGACGTCCTGTAAGTAGGCACATTCCAGTTAAAAGTAGGCGGTCCACGGGATGGCGCCGATTCGGCCCTGCGAGAACCGGTCCAAAGGGACTGACTGGTCCAGTGCCATCCATGTAATGGTCATCCAGTGTGCAGTGGGTTTTCTCGAGGTGAGAGATCGCACCCCAAGCTTGGTGGTTTATATGAATATGGACCCCATCTGTCTAAGACTAAGACATGTAGGGGTTGTAGGGGGGCCGAAACCACTGAGATGGCATGTTCATTCGGTCCGCACTGCGAGGCCGCACTTCGATCCGACGTTTCAGAAGAGCTTGGAGGGTGGGGCGGGGCGCGCGGTCCGGGAGGGATGAGGAGCACGAGAGGCTTACAAAGAGTTGAAGCCACTTGAAGCCATGCAACCGTGGTTTGGTTGCGGGGTGATGGTCCAACAGTCCAACATTTAGGAGGTTTCTGCATGAATGCTTGATTGATGTAGCTTCATGCATCAGGAAGCATAGGAGCCCGGATAGTTCTTGAACACCCGCATTTCAGGGGTGTGTCCCAGTACAGTAAGAGTCAGTCAACAAGGAAAATCACTCTTTTAGAGATGTCGGCCTGCAACCAGGCCCCATGATGAAACCTGGTCATAGGATATAATGTGTATACATGTATCATATATATATATATATTTTTTATAGACCCCCAGTCATAGATGGTGGCAGGTCGATCCCCACATCTATATAGATGTATTGAATTGGAAACTATGCCTCCATCTACCAGGGCCCCCTGTTTGGGGTGGCCCCTTGACCTCTGGGGGGGCCCATTATTGGACACCCCATGACCCGGAGGCCCTGATTCTTTTTTATCACTACAGAATGATCCGTATACCACCCTGTGAATGTATAGCTAGGGGGGATACCCCCCTGTTTATATACATGACTCTGCCTGTTTGTAACGATTTTTTTAAAACACCCTACGCATCTCGACTCCTCCCACACCGACGGAGACGCACGGCTCGTCCACCGACGCGCAGCTCAGAACGACTCGGCAGCGGTCGCCCCCGAGGCGGTGAGAGGCGCTGCGTCGACGTCGACTTCCGTGTATCCTGCGGATGCTTTGCTACCGGTGAATGGGATCCATGTGGGGCGAAGCCCGAGCAAGAAAGGGGACGAAGACACTTTAAAGAATAACGCCTGGGGGACTATGACCCAAAACACTCCCGGCCAACGCACTCTCTCCGTTGGGCTCCAAGGAGTCCGTCGTGGGCGAAAAGGACGCCTGTGGCGTAGGCCGGGTCGGGTCGCGGGGGTCGCGATACCTAGCCTATGAAAAACATTTTGTTTCCTATCAACAAGAACATTAATCCGGTCCACCTAATAAAAAACACGTACCCCCCCCGCCCCTAATAAGGAAACCTCGGTCGCATTTTTTCTAATAGGGGGTCCCTGAAATCGGGGGGCCCAAAATAGGGTCACCTGGGAAGAGCTTCAAAACCAAAAAGTAAATCCGTAAAGTTTTATATAAAATCCTCTATTAAACTCGTATCAAAAATGCAAAAAAGCTCCAGATCGAAGGGTCTTCCTTTTCTCCATTAGAATAGTTATTCTTCAGTAGACTAACAGCTAAAGCTTTCGAAAGGTGATGTCGCTGTGCCATGCGGTGTTGCATGACCTCGGTGGCAAGTGCGTTTGCGTGAGTCCGTGCCATTGGGGGAAGGAAAGCCTGCTGGTGTAAGCGCGGCGTGTCATGGTGGATAGACAGGGCGGACAGAGGTGGGCAGTTACGGTTGTTTTTGGAGCCTAATTAAAAAAACTACCCCCAAAATCGACCATGTTGGTAGTTTAGTAGCGGCTTGAAAGGGCGGCAATTTAAAACCACATATAAACCGAATTTGGGGGATCCGGCATGACTTTTTTTAAATTGGGGTCCGTTTTTTAATAGGTACTCGGGATTAATTCGTATCAAAAAAAACATGTTGCTCCCTTTGTCCTGGTCCCTTGGTCCTGTGGTCCATTGGTACTTTGGTCTTCTGGTTTTTTGGTCCTTCGGTCCCTTGGTCCTTTGGTCCCTTGGTCCTCTGGTCCCTTGGTCCTTTGGTTTCTTGGTCCTCTGGTCCTTGGTCCTCTGTCCTGGTCTTCGGGTTCTTGGGTCTTTTCTTTCGAGGCAAGGCGCGTTAAGGGTGATTTGGAAATCTCCTGGTCATACATCCTGTGAAGCATTAGACCTTTTACCGCCAGACATAGCAGACCTTTTGTGAGCCACCCAACGGTAAATTTAGATGAGGAAGGTTGCATTCCAAGGTAGCAAACCTTTTGTGAGCCACGCGAGGGTAAAATTTAGAAGCGGAAGGAGCCATTCCAACGTAGCAGGCTTTGTGTTAGCCTTGCGAGGGCAAAATTTAGAGGAAGAAGTTGCCGTTCCAATGTAGCAGGGCCTTTGTTTTGTGAGCAGCCCGGCCATCCGAGGATACAATTTAGAGGAGGAAGGTGCCACGCCAAGGCAGCAGACCTTTGCTGAGGAAAATTTAGAGGAGTAGACCTTGTGTGAGCGGGCCATGCGGGGGGTAAAATTTAGGAGAGGAAGGAGTCATTCTAGGTATATCTTGCAACTTATGAGATCTACAGGCCTGGAGATTCAGGAGATCACCGTTGAGAAGCAGGGAGGTCTACATCTACAAAGGTCCAAAGGCCTGGACATCCAGACAGGTGTAGAGGTCTAGAAACCCAAAGATCCTGCAGAGGTTCAGAGGTCGATCTAGACAGGTCCTAGAGGTTTCACGGTCTAGAAGGAGTAAAGCCCGAGATGAGGTCCAGAGGTCTTCAGATCCAGAGATATAGAGCCCCTTTTAAGGTCTTGAGATCCACAGGAATGTTGCGCCTGCCACGCAATCTGCACTTCGAGGTTCACAATCGCTGCGCCTGCCACAAAATCTGCGTTTTGAGGTTCACCCAGCGCCGCGCCTGCCACGAAATCTGCACTTCGAGGTTCACAAAGTGCTGCCCTGCGAGGTTCTCGAAGTGCTGCACCTGCCAGGAAATCTCCACTTCCAGTGCGCAAAGTGCTGCGCCTGCCGCGAAATCTGCAACTGAAGGTGCTCAAAGTGCTGCGCTTGCCACGAAATCTGCAACTGAAGGTGCTCAACGTGCTGTGCCTGCCACGAAATCTGCACATCAAGGTCCACATCGCGCAGCCCTGCCAATGCGGTTCGCAGTGGCAGGCGCAGCTCTTTGTGAAAGGGTAACCTCATGGATGATATATGGGGCTTGATCTCAAAAATAGTTTCTTTTGACCTTCGGGGGTAATTTAGGTCCAGATGATATGTGACAAAGGGTCCTCGTACCTTTGTCACTTTCGGACACGTCTCTTTCTTCTTGATATGTGGTACATAAACATCGCCTGCCAAATTGAGAGGTTTGACGCCCCAAATGGGGGTCTATGGGGGTTGAAAAACGCACACAAACACACATGTCACACACATATTTATCTTTATATTATATATATATACACACCTACATACATACGGTTTTTATATGTCTATTTAAGATATATGTAGATATATAACACACACACACATATACATAAATATACAGTATATATATATTAAGGGTGTATACATGACATGATTTACTCCCTGCATCTACGAAGGGCTCTGCATGACTACATCATACAATAATGACGCGCGACATGATCGACACTACGTGGCCTGCAGGCATGATTGCCAACATGGACAAGCCAGCAAGCCACGAACTTTTAGAAGACCCTTGTCTGAGACTTGAGCATGCTTTCATGCGGACATGATTTCCGCCCAAAAACATGTTAGCTAAGGCTTTATTTGAACGTGAGATTTCCTCATCAGTTGCTACCCTTTTGCTCAGTAAGTGTTGGCGGATCATGAGAGCCACTCCATTTCAACTGTGGAACCCGCGCGCTCCAGGTCCTGAGGTGTCGGGAGGGATCTGATGAATCAGGTGTTAACAAAACAATCAAAAAATGCCAAAACATCTCGTTGAGATATCACTATCTGTGTCCTCTAACAACCTGGGTGCCAAGTGGTTTCGCTTCGGCTCGGTGCCCCACCGCCAGACCGAACGGCCGAAACGGCCCAGCCGAATGGCCCCGGCCGAAGCCCAGGTCGCTCTTCGCGCGCTGTCGTGCATGGAGCACCGGGGCGCTTGCAGCGGCGGCATGGATAGTGGCTTGGGCGGGCGAGGTTAGGGGCCGGTTAGGGGCGCCCGCTGGATGGTGGAGAGGAGGATGGTGGTGGTCTGACAGGTTCTTTGTTGAGCTTCCCAGGCAGGCAAAAGGAAAAAGGACAATTAGTGGGTGGAATAGCATAGTTTTCAGGTTTTTGACCGGAACATTGTGGTTTATGTTTGGAAACCCTTAGCCTTAGTCTGTGGAGGCTTGCATCTCCACTTGTGGATGTGTCAGTCAAACGCTGCTGGCTCAAGCCCCGAACAGCCGCGATGCTGGCGATGTGGGACGGAGAATGGAATCTGAGCTGGAAACTTGATCATGCAGAGACAGCCACACTGGCCAGACAAAAGTTGCGTTTCTGGAAACCAAAAGTACATCTCGTATACATCTCGTTAAAAACCCTTACCCCCTAGAATCCTACACTGGGCAGCTGACCCTACGGCGTTTTATGCACATGTTATTTAACAAACATAAACTTTTGTTTGCCTGAAGTAGTCTTATGATTTTCTTGAGTGTGTGACACATTTCCACTGGTCAGCAGAGATCACGCCGTTAGTTGTTATTAGTGGCCAATTAGTGGCGGTGATGAGAGCAACCCAGTGCAATCCAACTGATTCCGCTGCTTGTATTGAAGTTCTTGGAAACAAAAGGACGTACAGTAGGCTATGCCCCAGTGAAGTCAAGGAAGTCCCTCTTTCTGGCCACATGAAGACCATATCCATTCGCACTCTTTGACTCCTGTTTGATGATGTTTGGGACGTCCTGCCAACCAACACGTTCACTTGAGACTGAGAGTCTTGGTTTGCTTTTTTTTTTCTCCTTCTTGCCTGTTCAACACCAGGGGCCTTTTTCCCAAGTTATGCGAGTCAGCCAGCACCAAGCCGACCGCAGATTGCAGTGCACTGCGCCTCCCCATGTCACGTGATCGCGTGACCTGATGAATGGGAAGGCTTCCACTGAAGAAACCAGGTGGATTTATGCAATTTTCTGCACATGTCACATGGAATCTTACGGTGGGGGTGGGGAATTTGAGCTATAGTTCTGGTGAGTTCGGGAACCTCAAGAAGCAGTTAGCTAGCAAAGTTCCCCGTGAATCGTCTCGTCACATGGGAAGGACCCACCGGCCCCGGCTCGCCCGAGGAGTTGATCTGGGAGAATGTGCGGGATGCGTCTCTCCACGAAACGGCCTTAAAGCGCACCTGGCAGGCGTTGGAGCTCGGAGAACTGCATCGTTTGGAGCGTTTTGAGAACTGCATCGTTCGTCGATGTTGTGCGGGTTTGCTTTCCAGCGATCATGGGGTGTTGTGTTTGGGATGTTCCTGGTCGAGCCGTGGAGCACGATGGAGCCACGGTGCTTGCATTTCTTCACCCCAACGGCCTAAATGGCTTGATCCGTCAGCGACACCAATCGGAGGTGCAAGTGCTGTTGCTGTCGAACCTCCCTCGCACTGCGAGCGTGGTCTGGTACACGACTCTCCGTGAGTCCGCCGTGGCGCGCCTCGGTCCTGAGTGGATGGGCCATGGGCAGTGGATTTGAGCCCCAACCGAAGAACTGAGCTGCGCCCTTCAGGGCAGAGATGGAGGATGTTCAAACTCGACAGGAAAGGGACGCCTCAATATTTCTGGAGTGATAGTGGGTGGGAAGTAGATGGCACAATCCTTGGAAAGGTGATTTGGTATGGACTCCCTAAGAGTCTTGATGTTTGTGCCATGTGCTCTGAGAGCAATGCATTTTGTTGTTTTTTCTAGCGGCGCTGATGTATCAACCAGTCTTCCGCTAGGTCGCATCGACTCCAAGTGGCTTTCGCTTCTGGCTGCCTCTTCCTCCTAAGCCTGGCCCTGCTGTGCTTCCATAAGCTGTGTCGCACGCGCCCGGGGCTGGTGCTGACGCTGGAGATGGTCACTGCGGCTTACACCGCCCTGGAGTCAATCGTTTGGAGCCATGGGCAACAAGAGATGATGGCCTCAGTGCTGTTGGTTTATATTGCCCCTAGGTCAAAGGAGGAGAAAGGACATGAAACGACCACGCCGCTGGGAGGTTTGGCAGCATTGAGAACCCCCAAACTGGAATAGATGGACATGTCGTATGGACATACATCACATGAACAGTCAGATGAAATCACATGGGACCCTGAGGCGGTTGACCTCAAGTGATGACCCTCAAGTTGCACCCTACTGCCGATTCGAAGGCACTTGAAGTTTACATGTGTGGCCCTTCTATGCCTGCAGCATGTGGATGGGATTCTCAACCTTCTTCTTTCTTCCTCGGAGCATGGTTCGGGGCACCCCGGAAGAGGTCCCGCGGTCGACCCGCCCAGACCTGTGAAGTCTCTCAGGTGTGCTTCTTCATCTTGAGGACGCATCCTGTTCCCATCTTGTTGCTTGGTATTTATGTAGGCCACTGGCACGGCCCTATGGCTGCGTAAAAAGAGCTTGGCATAAGTTCTCTTGGGAAGTGAGAGTTCCCATCAACTTCATTCACGTCCTGGGTATCTTGAGTCATTGAGTCTCTTGGCAACCTGGCTACCCTTTGTTGCCCAGTACGTCGCTCCTGAAGCCCTGGAGACGGACATTTCATGGGCCGATGGGCTGCACGAGATCGTGATATATAATGGCTAGACCCCCGTATCATAGATAGCAGTTCATAGATCGTAGATCCCCACGTCGAAAAATGCAGGTGGACGGGATCATGACCTAACGAGATGAAAGGGATTGGATTCGCGGGAGCCAAAATCCCTTTCCACCAAAAAAAAGGGGCTTGCTGTTGTATATAGAACTTTGTTCGCACCGAAGAACATGCCAATATCAGCTTGTCCGTGTGATTTTGTTTCTGCGGATGCACGGTGATTTGTTTCTGTGTCGTCGTCGTTGTTGTTGTTGTTCTTCTTCTTGTTCTTCGGGCGAGCGTTTGCGAGTTAGTTTTTTGATGTTTTTTGTATAGGACTAAAAGCACTGCAAATACTGTTGCCATTGAACCTTGGCAAGCCAAAACATGAGGTATTTATATGCATGTATTTACCACAATCCCGTGTATTCGGAGCCAAGCTCACATTCATCGTTGGTCGGCCGGGGGCAGAGTGTTCTACTACCGCTCGGTCTGTCTCGGAGTGCTCAGGTTGCAGGTGGTCTCCTTCAACTTGCTCCTCTATATGCCCTGGACGAGTCAATCAAGCGAAAAGGGACGCATACGCATGCCCACTTGGTGGGATTTGGAAGGAGGAGCCTTAGTGGCGGAATTGAGGTGGATTGTTGGGGGGGGGGCAGGTGGTTCGAGTTGGAGCTATGTCGAACATCTAAGCCCATAGATGCACCCAAAAATCGCAGGTGCCGCAGGAGCCTTCGCTGAAGCATATGTTTGCTGAGCAACGTGTCAATACCTAGGACTGAGCTGCTGCTCGTGACGAATCTCTTTGGATCTATAGTCTGTAGTTCAATTAAACTTAAAACAACACTTTTGGCACCTGGATTTGCACATCATTTGATTCCATATTCTTTATGTTTGTCACCTGGATTTTCATAGCCAAGGCATGCTAATATCCAACCCCTTCCGAGTGAAGCTCTTGCTCTTCAGCCTCTGGCTCTTGTTCGCGTCCACGGGCTACCTCACCTCCTTCATGCGGAAGATCCACGCGGTGAAGACGGGCGCGGTGGGTGAGGCTGGGTGAGTTTGACGCGTGGGGAGGATGAAGTATGACGCACCATTCGGGTCCTAAAAAGCAATCCCATATGGTGCGTCCTCTTCAACTTGCTCGTTCAGCAAGTGAATGCGCTTGAAGAAACTTCTGGACCTGTGGCTGTCGACTTCTACCTCCAGTTGTTGAGGTGAGAGGTTGTACCAGCTCACTACCAGCAGTTCTTACTCTGCCAACAGTTCACCCCCCCCGGCGCAGTCGCCCCGTTCCACCTCACTCGCTTAGGCCCGGACCGGGCCGCGCGGCTGTTGGCCGCGGCTGGCGAGTTCGATGGATCCTGCGGTGCACGGCGCCGAGATCATGGCACGGTCGTTCCGGAGGGCCTGGAGCAACGCGGGGTGCTTGTGGGTGGGACATTTGAAGCTTGGCAATCGCTAGTTGGGGGCAGGGGTGAAAGAAGGTGAAAGGCAATGGGTTGAGATGTTGGTGCTTTTTTGATGGATGTGCTATAAGTCTGGCTGCGACCTGCGACCTGCGGCGGTCTCGCATGGTCCGAGGGAGGTTGGTTTCTCCGACCGCCCTGACGTTCGGGACCGGACGGAGGACCACCCGGTCGTTGCTCGATTCGCTGGGGATCGATCAGGATATGCTTAGACCTTTTGGGCGAGATGCGCGATGAACAGCTCTGGAATTGCAGTACTGAGCTCATGGCTCCCGCCATTAGCTGCGGCGCCTGCTTATTCACCGTGATCTGGGGATTGGAAGGTCGGCGCTCGCAAAGACGCCTGGGCCTTTTGTGGGGTGAAGATGTGCCACTGGTGATGTTCAGCTCTCTACCTCCGCTGCTCACTGCCAGCTATGCCTTTTGGATTCGCTCTGCGCAGTGTTTCTCGGGCGACAAGACCGAGGACGACAGAAAGTTCGAACCAGTGGCATTTGCTGTGTACGCTGTGTCTTGTCTGCCAATCCAGTGTAGGAATCCTACTAACGCCCCTAAGAGTCTTCACCGGCGAGAGCCTCAACTAAGGTGAAGAGTCTGCGGAAGACTTGGGGAAGATTTGCATGGTATCTTGCATAACCTCACTCTAGCTGCAATGAAAACCCTTGATATGGCATGGAACATGCTCGCCCAGATGCGGGAGGTTCTTTCCCCCAGTGGAGAGATCAATGGTACCGATGCTCTGAGGATGCCTTGCTATGGCTGACCCTGGTCCAGTGCTTGATGGCAGCCGCCACCATCACCTTAGCTTCGACACATCCGCTCTGCGCGCTGCTGGGCGCTGCTGCCCTGCTGGCGGGCGCCAGCCTGGTGGCAGTGATAAATAGCAGGTTTGATGTGAAGGTGGGCACATGGAAGACATCC